ATAAAAATAGAATATAATCGTAATTCAATGATCTTAATCTCTTATAAATTTTCATCGGGTTTCGCGTTAATCCTTTGCGCAGAAACTTTTCGAAAGATCGAATCTCATGGAGCGTGTGTCACAACATGTGTTACAAAACTCGAACGATACATTCTCCGTAAAAAAAAAGGATAATAATAAGAAGAGGATAACGAGACGTGCAATATTTGCAAGCGTCTTTCTTATCCTCTTTTATGAAATTCTAAGAGATCCCTCGACCTCGTTCGATCCTCGTCAAACACAGTGGCAAAATTTCGCCTCCTATTCGCCAGCCATTTTCTATCAACCGTGGGCTTATCAACTTATCGAAACACAAAATTTGGGTCGCGGCAAAGTGTTTCACAGTTCAGAAACTGTTCTTATTTCGGAACGTCGAGGCTCGCTCGATCGAATCGTTTGAGAGTTGGCCTGGCATTGTGTCGTTGTAACGGAGATCCTGCCTTGCTTTGAAACCTCAAACGCAAACAATTCTCGTGCCGCCATTTCAAAGTCAACTTGGTTGGTTACTACAGAGTGAACGAAATTCTACTTCTTCAAAGTGCAATCGTTCTTTGCAAGCTTTTTCAAGCGGTTTTCGCGTACGATTTTTTTATGCAAAATTGTGCATGCATCGTTCGATCGCACCGTTTCTTAAAATTCTTCAATGCAAAACTATTCTTGTGTCAACACAAGAATTTCGTGCAAGAGGATAGAAAATATTCGAATGACGAGACACGAGTTTATGATTGAAATGGATTTAGATTCGGGGGAATAAATGTAGATCGAATCTAAATTGTAAATTCGAATCTCGGGGAGACGGTTAAAATCTTCGAATTAATTTAATTTCTTTAGAGAAAGAAACATGTTCAAGACACGATGAAGAAGTGAACGTATAATTATTTTCAGCTTTTTAGAGATAAATTCTGGCATATTTTGAATAATTACAAGTAAAATTTATTGGAATAAATTTTTGGCTACTATCGTTCCTTGCGATTGATACTAATTATCGTGGCATAGAGGTAACGCGAATGAATAATGAAGTGTAATTGTCAAAAGCTCTGCCATTCTCCAGAATGACTCGATAATTAGAACTTATGAATTAGAAGCACGTTTAACGTGAGCACTTGATCTCGGTATAAATCCCGTCGTTAACTAGTGAATTTCAAAAATTCCTTAACAAAGGGAGGATCCCAAGTGGTCGATCGTAATAATAAGCTTTGAATACGATAAAGAAATTAAAATTTTCACAAATGAATCGAGACAAATAACTGCCTGACAATAACTCTCAAACATATCCGTTTCATCTAATTTTAAAATTAAATCTTCCACATTTTCCATATAATTTCTTCAATTCACTCCTTTTCAGTCGTGTCACAGATGTGAAACCTACGCGACCCAATTTTTCGATTCACGAACGTAAAATTAGTTCTCCAACAATTGGAAAGGATTAGATCGAATGGAACGTCTTCAAAAAAATTGCCATTTTTTTTTTTTTTTTTAACAAAATTGCCAGCTATTCCCTCACCGAATAAAATTTGCAATCTTCAAAACCGGTAAGGCCGATCGCAAGGTCTGCAGTTGCCGATCGGCGAGTCACGACCGATCGATCGCCGATCGAGATCGAGCCCATAAGCATAAATTCACCGGCAGCCCAGAGATTTGCTCGAGCATGGCCAATAAACACGCCTGTTTAATGATTTATCGCGATCTCGCCGCTGACGCACATACGTGCAACTATACGTTCTCTTCTGTATCGATATATACATTCAGATCGTAATTTTTATCCACCGTTGCCCCGCGGATCACCATAGAGAAAGAGAGAGAGAGAGAACTCTTTCGAGAGAGAATTCTCTGAGTCATAGTTACGCACTCGAATGCACCAGGAACCGAACTCCACACCAGCTGTACACTATCAAGACCACTGATTGGAGGAATTAATTTTTTTCGTCGTCCATGCGCCTCTGCGTAGTTCGAATGTAATGCGCGTTATATAGGTCAGTGCAAAATATTCCTTTAGGCGGTGTTAATTGGTGTTGGAAATGTTCATGTGTGTGTGTGTATATATATATTTGTTGTGAGTAATATTGAAATGCTCGTTGATGAGTGAAATTACGAAATGATTTTTTTCTTTACTTTCTACTTTTTGTGGAGAAAATATTGTATTTGGAAATATTTCTTTCTTTTTAAATAAGCATCGAGAAAGATGTATCGTTTTTATTGCGATATTATTCAGGCATTTTGAAATGTTTTTTTTTTGTCTGTAATTTGTATCGAAGAGTGGTAAAAGAAAAGAAAGCTTTTCGAAAAAATGTTAATAATCGTTATCGGTGAAAAATTTTCTTTGAAACAAAAATCCTTTGAAAGTGTGCACTTATTCTCCTGTGTTCTACTTTGTCGATATTTATGATCCTTCGAATGTCACGGAGTTATTTAAGCGACTTCGTTTAAACGAGGTTGATTATTTTTGCCTTTATCAATGAATAAATCTCTTGGATTTCGTAGTTCTTTGAAACTTTCCCTGGTTAAAATGTTTTAAAATTTCGTGCCAAGCGTAAACCCATCGTTACAATACTGAAAATTATGCGGATATATCAATCTCAAAAACGAATTTAATCCAAGAATAAAATTCCTCTTAATAATTCTCGAGTATCTGGAGTTAAAAATTTGCCTCATTTTTACTAAGTAATTTATTACCCCTAAAATTTTCATACATTATTCATACACGATTTATTTTTAAATTTATTCCTTTGAAACGCGTCGAATACTTGTTTCAAGAATCTTTCTCTCTCTCTCTCTCTCTCTCTCTCTATACATATATTTTCTTGAGTTTTGAAAATTTACTTTACAAAAATTAAAGGTAACGTGTGTAATAAGAAAGAAAATTTGAGTTTTATGCTTGAAATTTTATCAACTATTTATCGCCTTAAGTTTTACGATTATTTATATAAATTACATTTATAACAACTTGTTTCAAAATATCAATATACTTCATACATTTATACATATATCTATAATATACGCAAGACTGATTCCTTCAATTTGCAAAAATTATTATTCACGATACACGGTTGGTAATACGAGCGTATCATAAATAAATGGACCGTAAAACCCATGAATCTATATTCCCTCAAGATCGTTGCATTTTAATGCGATCTTCGATGAACGTAGCCGAAACATTGAACTACGTAGTTATATAGACTGGTTTTACGAAACATTGGTAAAATTATTCGCCATTTTCTACTATTTTCATATATTTTACGAAGAGCAAGATGATATATTTCTTACTCGAAAATTAATATTCCGACGAAGTAAAAGAAAAATTGTTTCGTATAATTTATAATCAAGCAATTAAGCACTTCATCAAATTCGAACTTTTAAACTTTACGATTTAACAAATAAAACTCGACCGACATTTTCCTCTTTTTTTTCTGACTTCTGGAATTGATCCTTCCCAAATAATATATTAACATCAGCAACGCAACGATACGTCTCTTAAACTTAACGAAATAAAATAACACTCTATTTCTACGATATAAATTCACCACCAATATCGTTAAACTTTCATTAAAACGCGTGCCGCGTTTTTTTCGACAGACCTCAATTTCGATTTTTTCCACCAGGCGTTCCACAGGTTGCGCAATGTAAATCAGGCCAACCTGCTGTCCAATATCGAGGTTCTGTCCACAGCGGGGAACACTTCCAGGCTATCTCTATTCACTCTTGACGAGCATCCGCGATAAAGTGCACGCGATACCAGCTCTTTTCCGCGCAATAAAGCGATTTTTGCGAGAAAGGGGTGGCGGATATTTCGCGTTCCTATCAGAGAATGTGCGAGGGAATGTGTGACGGCAATGTGGACCGACACCGCCTTCCCTTTTTACGTTTTTTTTTTTCTTTTTTTCGTTGTAACACGCCAGCCACGTTTTCAGAATAGAATTTTGAATAAATTTATACACGGCCATTTTCGATTCGAAATAGTTGGATCGGGCGTGATAAGCAATCAAGTTCACGGGTCGGGCAATTTGTATTTCGTACCGATATACCAATGTTACTTTGCCTGATTATCTTGATAGTGTGCGCGATGTTGAGTCGGTGAAAGCGGTAAATCGTCCCGGTTTATGGAGGTTCGATAAAGAATTTCGATGGAAAAGTAATTTCGTAAAGTAACTTCTTACGGCAGGGATTGTTGTTCGAGAGTTGTTGGTGTTCTACGAAATGGTGGAATGTATTTTGTTTTATTTCTACCGATTTTCTTTGATTCGATTTTATGCTTGGAGTTATTTTTTAAGAAGTAACGTGTATTCAGAGTGTACATTAATATATTTGGGGGGAACATCTTTGAGAAGTTTTTGAGAGATCAAAAGAATGACAAAAGTTAGTATATAAAAATTTTGATTGAGGCTTGTTTATTAAGTTATAGGCAATTTTTAAGTTTGAAACGAGTATTCGTGAATATTATCCCAAAAATAATTCTTAATATCTTTCTTAATAAATCAATGATCCAAGCCTCTTTATTATCATTTTTTTTCTAAATTTTTCTCATTTGTTATTTTAAGTTCCAATTAGTCAAATTCTTTTTTTCTTCTCGTTCCTTTTTCTCCTTTTTCTTACCATGTGGCAAAAGATGGAAATGTATATAACACAGAAAGCTTGTGAACCAGTTTGAATATCTTTCAACTGGGTTTCAGAAAGCGTTACTAACTTTCATGCTGCAATCTTCGTTACGCGAGCTTAATATCTTTTATGGTATGTCAGCCATGTTTGAAGGAAGTACTCTGTGCTTTAATGTATACAGGGTGAATTTTAAGAAACGTGAAATTTCTATAACTTATAATTTGTAACTTGCAAATTATTAATAAATTTATTATCGCAGATTTATTATTGCCTTAGAGAATTCTGATAAAAATATATAAAACAATAACATTTTACAAATACGTATTTTTTAATCTTCTTGTCTTCTTATCATTTAAAAAAATTAAATAATGTAATCTTACGTAATGAAAAAATACAAAATTCTGTTTAAAGAAAGTGGTATATCGCATAATCCAAAATATTTTATAAAAAATATGTTCAGATTTACCTTTCTCCATTAACATTTTCGTTCAATTAGAATCAGAAAATAGTCGGCTTCAACTTGTACGCATTGTTCTGTACATATATATATCATAATTATCGTGTAGTTCCATTTGAATTACCTGACATGTTTCTTTGTACTCTGAAATGCAATATTACCATTTGATTTCCTGTATCCGGTGACTCACCCTATATATATACTCACATATTTACACATAGATTCTTAGACCTTTTACGCGGACTGCATGCAATCCTCTCACGTGCCGCAAATGCTACAATTTTCTCTCGCGTGTTTCTTACGGGGCTTTGCCATCTACCTTTTTCATCGTTTTCTTTCAGTCTGTACCTTCGTCATACATCTACGTGGACAAAATTGAGGATTCGGCGCCTATACCTACTTTCTCTCCTTTTTCATTTTTATTACCATCATTCCTTTCATTTTTTATTATTTTTCTTTCACCTTGTCTTTATTTTCTTTTGATTTTTTTCCCACTCATTTTTTTCTTTTTTCCTTTCTTTTACTTATTTTTTGTTTAGTTTCTTCCTTGTTTATCTTATTAAATTCTTTATTTTACTTTATTTTACTAATTTTATCTTCATTTCTATCATCTTAACTGGTTCTCCATGATTTTCCCTGAAATGAAAATATAGCGTAGTAGGAAAATGTTCCGTGTAAATCTTCAAGTATCGCTGACATCCCCATCGTTGCAAGTAAAATGCATAGTTACACTGCTTGTGATTTATGATCATGCACACGTTTACACGCAGTTACATGCGACGACAACATCGTATTTCCGATAATTCGCCAAGCAGCAGATATCTTTATCGTCCGCACTCAGAATCATTTTCTCCGAGCACAGAACACGGAAGTGTTCGCATAATCGTCCAGTTTATTCAAATTTAATTGATCCTTACAGAAACTTCGATAGTAGTAAAATTATTTCAATGATTAGGTAGAATATTCTGAAAAACATAAATAGTATGAGAATGTGTTTAAGCGTGGCGATTGCATATGTTGGTATGAGCACACACGTATAATGCAAATTCAATGCTATAGTATCAAACAATTTTTTGCAAATAATTAAAGTTAATTAATTATGCAAAAAAAAAATTATACAATATTATGCACTTTATCACATATTAAACGATCAAAAATTAAGATCGTAAAATCGATAAAGAATGAGTTAATCGATTATTAATGGAAACATGTTTATGTATTTATAAATATAGAAATATTAAACACTAATTTACATTTATATCTTATATGTTCTATTGTAACAAATATTCGTTACAATTATTTTTCTAATATTTTTCTAATTTTAAATTACACTTCTTATTAATTTTATTATCTATTAATCTATTAATCTTATATAATTTATTTCATGGAAACAAAGTGTTATCCATTTTACACATAAAATTATCTTTTTAATACCAATAAATTACCCTTATTATCACTTATAGTATCACATCAATCTCGAAAGACATTTATGCGCTTCTAACCTCTCAAAGAAATGACACCACCAAAATACCGGTTAACAACGTAATCGTATCATAGCAAAACAAAGCTCCATTGTTCGTTATCAAGAATAGTGGTTTTTCGTGTCGTTCCTACGTCGTTTCTGCCCCATTGTGCAATTTCTTTCCCTCGACCTATTCGAGAGGCTAATCGCCGCTTGAGCCGTCATTTTCAGAATCACGTTCACCCTTTTATCAGTGACCGAATCGCGTCCGACTTTATCTTTACGGCATGCTTCGCCATTTTCCCGTCCGCTAGGTTTGCGAAGGCGTCCAAACACGAGAACGAACTTATGACGCTGATTAATGGCGATTATTAAATTACAAATTGCGGAGGTAATCGGAGACAAACAATGAAAGTTCACCGGTGACGCTATAGAACGACGACATCGTCAGGTGGAATCGATTTTGATCCGTCGCGCGTGATTAACCTCAAATTCGAAACACGTCAATGACAACTTTTCTTTTTACAATATCACTTTTCATATGACACAATAGAATTTTGATTTGTAGAATATATATTTATAAATTTTGTTGTTTAATTGTTATTTTTATTGGTTAACTTTGTATCAGTTTGTTTTATTGCTATAACAGTATTAATATTAGTTCGTAATCTTTAAAATATATTGAAAAAATAATCAGTTACAATTTCTATTCTAATAAATTTGTATTCTAAGAAATTGAATTCTACTTTTTAAAAAACTAATTTTTTTTTCTATATTAAAGATTGAAGAAATTCAATGTATTTATGGATAATTAAATAGGACTTTTTGTAAAGTATCACGTATTTATAAAGAATATTATTAAAATTTTACTTTAAAGTTAAATATCATATTGATTAATTACTACTGTTTCTATATAACCGAAAATATATAATAGTAAATTATAATATATTTACTTTGAAGCAATACTTACCAATTACTCTACTCCTACATAACCTATTTCTTAATCTTAAAATCTCGTAATAATGTAGCAACGCCTCAAAATATGGTTCTTTTAAAATTACTTCCAGAAACATTTAAACTATTCTGAAATACTCATTCATCGAGTATCCATTCAATAACGAGTAATTTCAAAAAAGATAGATTATAATCGATGTGGCCTGAACCATGGCAGCCTCTGATACTGATCTTGTAGAATAACGCCGTTTCCGAAATAGATGGGTATAAGAGGAAGTAAGCTGGTCGACTTTGTTATTATTCGATTATTGGTGTTGCAGGTTTAATCTCGTAGATCTTGTACTTAATTCTTATATGGTGAACGATACACACTGAAAGAACAGCTGACCCCCATCCGGTAACCTTTCTTAAAGTCCACAATGAAGAGTAGCTGGTTAATTCTGTTCGAGAAAACAAAGAAAAGAAAAGAGAAAAATGAAAGTATCCACCCATCGTTACCAATCCAGCATCCTGTAATGGCCGAATAGCCTGGACGATTGTAACTTTACCTCTTGACGTCTAGTGCACACATTCATGTACACATAAAGAAAGTAAAGTAAGTTTAATAGAAAATCCAGAAACTTCGTTCCCATTTCTGTTTATCGATATTGATATCAGGGCAGATAGTGTCTCGATATGTGTTCATAATTTCTTAAATAAGAAAGTGGAGAAATAAAAGTTGACGGGGAAAGAGGTTAGAAAAGATGGGAGAGTGATATTTGCGAATAAGGAGAAGGTTAAGGATATTTGAGATGTGTGTTTGGGAATTCTGTTGAATTGGATTTAGGAATATTTGAAGGGTGTTCGAAGGAAGCGTTTGTGAATTAGTTGATTAGATTTCGCAAAGTAGGTTATGTTGACAGGAATTTTGTGTGATTTCGTTGATTTAGCTTGATTACTTGTGTATTTTGAGAACGAAGATTAAATCGTAAGAAATAATAAAAAATAGATATCAATGTGAATTTTGGAAGAATAATATAGTTAATATTAACAATTTAATATTATGGAAGATAAATATTTCATACATATTTATCAACTTTTTTTCAATGCTATTTCAATTAATGAGAATTAAATAAAAGATGGAACGAAAGAAAAGAATGAATAAAAAAGTGAATCCCCTTAAGTTAAACCAATTAGTAAATGGACAAAAAGAAGTGGTGTTTATTGAATTCTTTTAAGCTTTGATTGAATAAAAGCTTTGTCTATAATAAAGTCTTTTTTTCTTTTAATTGAAGAATCACATTTAATTATTATTTAACTTAATTTTAAATTCAAAGTTGATTATAATTATAATATCAATTTACATAATACTTGTAATAACATAAGATTAAATTATCAAATTTAATTTAACTAAAATTTAATTAAATTTAATATTGATTATTTCATGTGTATTTATACATATATAAACAAAAGTTTCATTATTAAATTTCAATTAAAAATCAATAATTCTTTATTTTTAAATTGACGTTCAATTAAAAGAGAAAAAAATTAAGTATAATTATTCTTTTTCCATGCAATTAATTATATTTCAAGGAGAATCCTCATTTTAATTGTGAAAATTCTACATTATTAAAAATGTTAATTATTAAAATTATTCTATAATTTTATTTCTATAATTTATAATGTGAAATATAACATTATACTAAAATAACATAACGATGAAAATAATAAGGGAGAATTAATATTCTTATTAATTCTTATTAATTAATTTTGCATATCAAACGACTAACCGTCATTATTAGAAGAGAGAAAGGTCTCAATATCCTTTCGCGTCACCATGTTTCTCACTATTGAATGAAAATTTTCTGTTCTTACCACCTAGTATTATACACAGTGTGATGTTCTTTTCAATGTGCACAATATGCGGCGTACTTTTCATCGTATCTGTGTCGAAAGAAAAAAATGGCCCGGTAGCCAAGCTACCTAGTTTCCACGCCCTTTAATTACCGCTGCACGATTGGTCGCACCACAACGAGAAAACGTCATTATAGTTACTAAAGATCCATCTATCGTGTTATGGTTCCTTGTTACACTGGTTATTCACTCTCTCTTTTAGCGACAAAGATCACTAGAAGTATCGAGAAGGAAAGAAGCCATTGTCCAGTTCGAGATCCTTTGTTTGGAACATTCAACTTAATCTCTCCATCTTTAACGATCGATTCAGCTTCGTCATCCGGGATATCCTGTGATTTTCTTTTCCAATCGGTAATTATATTCCTTTCGAAGAGGCGTGATCTATCTTTAGGCGTTAACGCGAAAACAGATTGTATTTTAGTTTTTGTCTGTTCGTTATTAATGGAATACTAGGTTAATTTATACCTTATAGCTGTTGCAGGTTAGAAATGCATATGATCTCATTATGATTGCATTTGTTTTTTTTCAATTGTATAAATCATTTCTGAGATGAGAAAATATTTTGTTTAGATATTAAAATAATTTCTTGTAAAATAGTCAGTTTTCAATAACAATTTTTTCATTCTTCTAATCTACCAAACCTAACCTAAAACAAGAAAGAAGATGTAATATTATTTTTTTCAATCCATTTGAAAGTGAGAAAAATCAATTCTATTCAAACTTTACAAAAACTACTAGACATGTTGGATTGTCGAAAGTAGATGCTGCTGATTCTCTGTGGGCGTTCTTCATGTCTCCAGAATTGAACTCGCCGCTTCTCAATGTACGTTGAAACGATTTAGAAATGCGGCTGAATCGCACAAAGAAAACCATGGTGCGTTGACCGTCCTTTCGAGGTTCAGATACTAGTGCCCTTGGAATTCCTTTCACGAATACCTGCACCAAACATAAAGCAAGATAAAATTCCATAAAGCCGGTATAAAATTTGTCTTCTGCTGACTCGTTCACGAATAGGTAATTTGTGGAATAGGCACTTTTAATTGCTATTTCGCTCCAAGGACAACAGTGAAGATGTTCACGGAAAATGATCAAATGAAAACTTAAAATTGTTTGGTTCATTGGTTTTCTTTAACTTTTATTGATTTTAATTCGAATCAAATAAGGGTTTTTCTTCTCAATTATCCTTCAAGAGATATTCTTTTTATAATTTTTTTAGGTTATGTAGAAATATATTACAATTAACATATTGCTGATATTGATATTGATATTGAACAGTGAAATAAATATATTGTGTTTATAAATTTATATTTAAAACATATTTACTGCAAAAGATAATGCAATATTAATATTAAATTATTAGGATAACAAAAAAAAAACTAAAAAGTTGATGATAATGTTAGATTAACTTATAAGAAATGCAGAATTAATATTATTTAATTTATAATTAATATTACTTATGGATTCATTTATCATTTAAAAGTGTTTGATAAGTTTTTCTTTTCACAATTTCTTTTTTATCCATAAATACACCTTATAAGAAGGAAAAATAAAAAATATTGTGATTCATAACTTAGTTATATGAAATACTTTAAGTCAGAAATTATAAAACATAATCAGATGCACAGAAAATATAGGATTCATAAACTTTATATATCAATTATTTTGAATGATTTGAAAAAAAAAGTCTTGTGTTTTAGACAATTTTTCTACATACAAAAAAAAAAAAAAAAAAGGACCATTATAAAATGCAGCATAAGGTCTTCCGTCTCTAGGATGTTGTATGCAAATTTTCTACTTTCTGTCTGTGCCGACAGTCTCGAGTGAATCACCAGTTTGCTTCTCCAGTTGCAAATCAGAAATATATATATACATTCGACACTACATTTGAATGCAAAATATGAATTTTTTCAGGTTATTTTTTTCTCTATAGTTTGTTGTAGGTTGCATCAATATAAACTATCTAATAAACATTTGTAAGTTATTATATTTTATTAAAAATTAATAATAATTAAAAATATAGATAATATTTTTAATAATGTCTTTAAATTAATTTATAAATAAAATATATTATCCCTTAAAGCAATGGATGGATGAAAAGTAATCTATATTTATTGATTATGTTTTTCTTTATTATAATTATGATCTAACATAGATTTTCTCTTATATTATATTTTATTTTAATAGCTTATGAGCATTTTGCATTTCTTTTGTTCCTTTCTTAATTGTTCCTTACATTTTTATAATATTATAATTTAGAAATTTATATTTTATTGAATATTTTATTATTGTCTTGGTAAATTTGTTTGAATACCTTAATTATTGCTTTTTTTTGATAAACAACATTAGTTAGTTCACGCTGTATAACAAATCCTCAAATTCAAAGTAAAAATTAAGCTACTTTTAAATAAATGAAAATATTAAATTAATCCTTTTTGCTTTACATTTGCTGCTTTTGTAATTGCATTTTTAATATTATTCTAAAATTCCAAGTATTAAATTTACAATATATTATAATATATTATATATTAAAAATCAAGTAACATGTATAATTAAATTATTTTAACCAGTAGTTTGAATTATCAATTGCTTGTAATTATTTTTTATATGAATTTTGTGGTTTACAATTCACGCAGCAACGTAAAGTAAGTATCGTTGCTTGTCTGGTTGACCAGTTTTACCTTTTTTTTCTTTGCATACATGAATCATGTAAAATCGCTTGAATCTCCATCAATCATATGTAAAAAATATCCATCAATTGAAGCTTTTCATTTCAGTTTTTCTCTCATCCATTCAGTACGATTTTACCACTTCCTCATCGATCGATCAGTGAGCAGATGTCATAACTCAGAGTCATCTATTTTAATTAAACGAAAAAAAAGAAAAGATATCGATATAATAAGAATATTAAAAAAAATTTGAATAACAATTATACATTTCATTATTCTAGAAACTTATGGATTTGGATACAATCGTTAGAAACAGTATATCGTATCATGCACTTAATCAAATTTGTATCCTAGCAATTAATTGATATTGACAAAAGATAACAAACTGGTTCATTATTGAATAATTTAACATTATGATGATCAATTAATATCTTTATATCGATAATCAGTATTTTTAAGAAAAATGAGATTTTGAAGAAATTAAATTTCAATATTTGAATGAAAATAATAAATGAATAATATTTTTTATAATTTTCTTTTTTATAGTTTAGAAAAGAATCAAGCTTATTATTGACATTTTCGATTATTTATCGCTATGTTGGACAATTATTTTGAATATTTGAAGATACTCTTACATTATTAATATACAAAATAACAATTTATTAATTTATTTAATGAATTAATTTTCAATGAACATCATCTAAGAACGATGCAAATATAATTCCACCAATAATTCACAATGTACACTATTACAGTATAATTTTTTTAGGACACTATACTTGATTATTTTAATTTTATCATTTTATCATTACATATTATTTATTGTTAAATTCTTCGAAAATTAATTTTCTATATTTTAGTTTTAAAAATGTTAACGAAATCGTAGGCCTAAGATAATTGTACATATCAGGAAGGAATTTGATTGATTTGATAAAACTTGAAAGATTCCTTCCCACTCATTTAGTCAGAACACCATAATAAAATCATTTAAAACGGAAAACTCTTTCACAATTCTCCTCGGTATCCGGATTTTACGTTCAAATAAAGAGGCCAAGATTTAATCGAAAGGAGCACCTTAATAACAGACCGATTAAAATAGAATTTAAATTCTATCGTTTCTAGAGATTGTATCTGCGCGAATTTTTAAAAATTTTCAAGATTTCAAGTAACAGGAGGCAGGATAGCTAGCTTTTTCATTTCATGCCATCTTATCTTCGAGGATAATCTTGTCCATTTCGATACGGCGTGTACAAGTATAAAACGATGAAATACAACATGGCCCCCATGTTAAATCTCGAGGATCGTTCAACGATGCGTAACGAAGCGGTCTCACGCGATCTCGCGCCAACCAGAATCATAATCGCGATGACGAGGCGGATCTTGGATGCCTACTCGAGTTGCTATTGTTCAGGATGCGTGGAAGTCGCGTGCAGCCTGCGACGAGAGCAGATAGAAAATGTATTTTCAAACGACGTCCACGAGATCGATGTCACGTAAAGCCGAGGGAACGAGTTGTAATTTGTTCAACGAATCACGTCAGAGTTAAGATAATTGAAACATTCACGTACAAATTACGTGATATCATAGATATCTATTTTGAGACAAATATTAGTTAATTGAAAATCTTGAGAGAAATACTTTTAATAATTTTTCAATAGTGTAAAAAGAAATTCCAAATTCTGTAATGCAAGTATGTTTTAACAAAACAACAATTTTATTATCGATCTTTATAAACAAATTGGGATCCATAATTATCATCAAATTCTCGTCTTATCGAATAACTCGAGTTCGGATCATTTTTAAGGAAAGATTGACTTTTTCATAGATTTTTAGTTTCTTTCCCCGAACAATTTGATATCTCAAAACCGTGTAATAAATTTTCTCTCGGCCCCAAATGGGACACGTGCACCTACTATGAAATAGTACTACTACCGAACCGACTCGTTGGACAGAGTATAGCGAGCCTGATTTTCTCGACTTACGTGACTTACCGGAACATCACGTTTCTTCCTTGCAGAGTGTACACCTCTCAAAGTGGCGAAACCTTTCGATAAACCGAAAAACGATCACACGAAAGTGATATATCGTGGAGGTGAGGCGCGCGAGTATCTTAAAAAAAAAAATAAAGTGTCCGTCGCGCGAATCGTTCCACACAGACACGCGCGTGTTCGTTCCAGAAACGAAATAAAAATAGCGGGCATACTCGTGTGATGATTCGATCCACCACGGATGAGAATTCAAGGGTCAACCCACTACTACTGTTCCATAATCCTGCCCCGCTTCTCAAGATATCGATGTGAAGGTGGAACGCGCGGGTGTAGCGGTTCGTGCTAGAGAGAGGAGGAAGGTGGCCGAGGGACTCAAATGGAAGAAGTAGCGTTTTCGCTGAGCGTCACCCGTTATCTGGCCGATAAGTCAGGGAACTGAATTATCGTTCGATACAGCGTTGACGGATCGTGTTCCCGACGAGATCGATCCGCACGCGTGTGTTCGAAAAGAAGATCGTCTCGAGGAGATTCGCAGCTTAAGGCTCGACACGATGGACGCCCTGGAATTGCAAGCGGCCCTGGTGAAGCTGGATCCAGCGACCACGGTGACACCGATCGGCTCGAACGTGAAAATGCTGCCCGCCCGTCATCGTATCGCGTTCACGGTCGATTTGGACGAGAACGATCTGACGTTGGAGAACGCGGCGCAGAACGACGAGAAAGCGGCGGGCGGGAACAACGCGGCCAGAAAGATGCACAACAATTGCTCGGCCCAATTGACGGTGCCAGGCCATCACCCGAACAACAGGCAGATAGAGGTGGCCAAGTGCGAGATGGCCGAGGTCAGGTGACGCCAGCCTTGCTTCGACCTCATCTTTTATCACACTTATCCACCGCACAGGGGCAGCAAGCATCATGCCAAGCATCACGCTAAGGAGAAGAGACATCATCATCATCATACTATGCATCATCAGCATCATAGATCTCATGCGGTGAGTCAGTGCGCCTTCTATTCGTGCGTCTCATCCGTTTTCTGTCCTCTCGTTTTGGTTACGTTATGGACGCGAGGTTATTATAGTTAGTGATGGGCGTTTGATCGATTTCGAGAAGTTTTTTTTTTTTTTTTTTTTTTTTCCTTTTTAACATTGGGAAAGGATTATGGGGAATCGATCGTGACGCTTCGAAACGTTTTCGAGAGGTTGATGGATGAAAATCTATCAAGAGATTGCTTTCGAGAAAAATTTTAACGCTTATCTTTCGAGGGTTTTGAGTATCGAATCATGTTCAAAATTCGAAGCCATTCGAAATGTTTCTGGACGCATCACATGTAGTTCATTTTTCGTTTCTTGATAGCTGTGCGTAGATACATTGTGTTCTTTGATCGAATGTTTTTTTCTTCTTTTGCTATGGTGGTGGTTCTAGCCACGATTTTTTCGATGAGAATTTTTTTTTTTCCCCACTTTTTTTGCCTTGCTCGATAGCATAGTCGTTTGATTAAAAAAAAAATTTTTTTTATCACTTTTATGTCGATCACAGTTTTTTCCTTTTTTTTCGTTCAATAAACTGTTTCGCTTAATTGAAGAAAAATTGTTTTAAAGTAATCCACGTATTGAAAAAATATTCTTGTAACTTGTTGAATAAATTTCATTCCGTTTAAAATTCTAAAAAGCTAGATAAAAGAAACGAAGAACAAATTTCTGAAGGATACAGGATTTTTCTAAAGGATTAAGCTCGTTCTTTTAAAAATTCTTTATTTGTGAAAGTGGATTGTAAATTTATTCATGAAAGATTTCAAGAAAGTAGAATTGAAATCATTTTTTCGATTTCAATTCTTCGTAAGCAATATTATCATTTTTGATTATTTCGCAATTCTATTTGTGTATTTATATTTGTGTAAAATTGATCATGTGTTACCAAAGGCATGCATAATGTACATCCTATACTCAAACAACTGCCTGTATATATATACTTCGAAATAGATAGAATACCATAGTGAAACGTTTTATCATTGTTGCATTATTATATACACGTGATCATAGTTTGGATATTTCATCGTACATTTTTCTCATTTTTTTCATAAAAGTCTAAAGAAGAAAAAAAGAAAAAGAAGGTGGACTATAAACTTAAAACTTGAAATTCCATCGGTATGACTCAACACAAGTTAATACAAAAATTCTGAGAAATTAAGAGTCAGAAATTCGACTTGAAATTGTCGTAAATAGCCATTCTAGTTTCGAATTTGAAACGTTGCATGCAACTCTCACTGTGTCACAGTTGGTGGCGCCACTTGATGCCTCAATTTAAGACCTCGTTAGATTTCTTCCACTTGCTTGAGAGCAAAGCATGTAATGGGCCTATCGCGAGTCACTTAACCGTTTTAACATCGAACTATCTGCCGATGGCAGTCAAGGCATGGGCATTAATGGACGTATTTCCGGGACACGAGGTTGGCCAACAGCGTAAATAAGATGAGATAGAATGACCGTGTACCGTGACCTGAATTTCTTTAAGGGCATTGATTCAAAGAGGTAATCGTTCACGTACTAGGCGTGTTACCGATCAAGAACAGGGACACGCCAAGCTATTTAACACGTTCGAAAGAAGCTTTTCGTGGACGTATACCGTTGGAAATAGTTCGATATCCAATTGTATTCGTTCGATATGATGTAAAAAATAGTTGAAAACGAAGAAAAAGTTAGGTTATGTATACAGCGAAATAAAATTGTCATTGATGAACATTGGATGAAGTTAATTGGAAATTAATTATTATTTAAAATTACGAGTAAAATAGATAGAATAAAATTACGAATAAAACTTCGGTATCGAATAAATATTTGATAAGCAATCATAAACCAAAGAGATCATTTATAGATCGTATCGGAAGGAATAATTTACATGTATCGCGATTTATTCGATCGAGTTATTAAAAAAGAGAGAGACTAGAAGTTCTAGTCACCAGACGATCGGCTATCACGCGAAACACGTATCGGTTGAACGCCATGCGTACACGACTCGCTTGAAATCGAAACCCAGTTCTCTTAGCTCGCAAATATTGTTGCATTCGCTTTTGACAAGCAGCACCGTTAAACCTTCGCCGCTGCAACGCCAGCCATGATTCATATCTGCTCGACATTGAACCATTGGCGTAACGTTATACCCGTATTCCGGGTGTAGCTCGCCACTTCCATTTAAAATATACAGAAAGTGGAATTGCTTCTGGTTCTTATGATATAAAACAAAATGTTTGTTTGAATACCCATGATTTTCAATCAGACATCTCTCATTTCCACTTTTGAGATATAAGCTCGTTGAATTTTCTCTCTTTTATTTTAAAAATGAAAAATGTCTTAACAGCTCGTATATCGTTCGTTCCTTATTTTAAAATTGTTCATTCTCATTTCTCATCCCGAGATTTAATTTCCGTTCATTCGTACGTTCTTGACACAGAATGTTTCAAGATTTGTTCCTTACAAATATATAAATTTATAAATCATAAATATACTTCTTATAACAATCGTGTCGGACAATCGTTTGTTTAACGAAAATTGGAATGCACGTTGGCGAATTTTGTGAACGAGTCTCGATGCTATTGATCGTTTTCCCGTGCGTGATTAAGTAACCTGTACAGCTGTCCGGGTTGGCGTCATGTGAAATTGTTTTTCAGCCTGTTGGCCATCCGAGGACGATATTTTATTGGTAACGTACGAGGAAATATTTGACGCGTTAATTGAAATGTATTTGAGGCGATTCGATCGATCGAGCTTGATCCTCCTCTTGCAATTGATAAATCTAATCTATTTCTAGCGATAAAGTTTCATTCGCGCGACAACAAATTGGAGTCGTTACGTTTCAATAATATGAACACGCTTATAAATTTCATCATAGAACGAGAAGCAATCCAATCTGATCCCTATCAACGTTTGCAAACGAGCACACGGTGCTTAAATCGATCGAAAATTACCAGTCAAGAATTGGATCAGGCTTGTCGGGTCTGGAAGCACATGTAGTACACGAACGAGACAATACGTCTACGCTGCTACACATTTTCTCTTGTACAGCTTCGACAAATCGATAGCGTGGACCCTGGTAACCCACCCAGCCACCCCTATCACACACCCTGCCCTTATACATTCTTCCTTCACGATCTCTTCAATTTCTTCAAAAAATCCATTCAAGATCAGATCTTCCTTCTTCGCTCTGTTCTACGGAGTGATGCTGATACTTTTGTTTGTGAAACCACAAAAAGATTCTCCCTCCTTAATCTACGAGAATCCACTTTCGAAAAACGAGGACGAGAAAAGTTGGCGTATTTTCTCAATTGCAAGAGAATGCGCTTTCCAAATGAAAACCAAAAACCGTAAAAGTATACCTGCTTTGGCAGGTATATACAGGATGTTTTATATATATATTCATGGAATCTTCTGAAGAAACAAACAAAAAAATTTCGACCGAGATTTGCAACAATATTGCAATATAGATAAGAAGGCTAAAGATCGTATTGGAAAAAAGTAAAAAAAAAAAAAAAATGGAAATTCGATCCAATCCAAACTTTTTTGTCATCCTTTGCATCGTGGTTGTGTTTCTTTCAACGGTAACAAGTTATCTGCGTTAAGTTCTCGATGGAATGCAAATTGATTTCTTTCCGGGTGCATCTGCTGCCGGAGATCGCGTGATCGAGTCCCTAATCATATGCACACACGCGCTGCTTCCACTCCTTCTCCCTTTCGGTCGTGCATTGTTTGCGATATAAGGTGTAACGTGTTCGATCGAGAGTACGAGCCTCGTACGTGACGAGAAGTCAAAGTAAGGACAGATGCGCCCTATCCGGGCATTGATTGACACGATCTCGTGTCTGGCGACATTAACTGTTTAAGCTGGTTTGGGGACAGTTACGATGAGAGAAATTTGGAAGTTAAACGTGTTATCTTTCGTCTGTCTTCCAATTTAATTGGCCCAAGTTGGTAAAAATTGATTTTTAACGAAAAAGCGTTAAAAATGGAGGAATAACAATTTTAATACCGTTTCACATTTATTCTAATGCGATTGATTGATATAAAATGGATCGATATTCAAATTTTATTGATGAGACCTATTTATAGATTTCAAATCAATAATATTAGTATCGTTACGTGGTCTATCTCTTGGATTAATTTTTCCAACACGTTTTCCAAAATCGATCACGAGAGAAGCTAAATGAACCTCAGATGCGTCCATATTCAGGCCGGAAATGAGTTTATTAGCGAATACCACCAAAGGAAATTCGAAGGCTATCATCATCACGTGTAGATCTTAATTTCCGGAAATTAGTTATCACATATAATCGATGTAAGAATTAAAATAATCACTTCAAT